CTGTCATCATCTCCATATGAAACTTAATAAATGTTTAATGGAGTTTTTGTTTTGTGTAAGAAGTTGTGGAATTTACACGTGATATATATATGTATAAAATGTTCAAAGTTTATAAGGATTATATATAATCTGACATACTATTAGTACAAAAGTGACGAGAGTATACGTTCAAACTCATTTTATTTTCTGTAACCAGTTGACGAAGGTAGGAAAAAAACAGGAAATTTTATTTTATTTAATAAACATAACATATTTATCAATATTAGTAATTTTTATTTGCAAATTGTATGTGAAACACTTGTATATTGTATGTAAAAAGTAATATAAAAAAGTAAATATTTTGTACAATATATTACCTGTTTATTTGTTATTGCTTATTTTATTATTACGTATTTGATTGAAATTACAAAAAAATGAGAAACAATACATTATGCTTTAGTACTAGCGAATTTTTGTGTATGCTATTAATGTTATTGTAAAACATACAGCAAAGAACAATATAAAACAAAAACATTTAAATGCAATTACATGAAGTTACCGCCGTATCTCTAAAATAAATTATACGCTTTCTGATGTCTTTTTGTGCAAAGCAATATTTTACCGAATAGTTTCCTACACTGTAGTATATTTCAGTATATGCAGCAATAGATAATGTATCAACGAAATTTGATATAGAACGACGTTCTTTCGGAGAGTAAAATTACTATCTTATCATTAGAGTTGATTCTATTCCGTGCTTTGGTCGCGCGCTCTGCACCGCACGTCGATGCGATATCTCGATTCTCGAAATATCGAGCGCGTAAAATACAGTACCCGAGAAATCATGGATATTAGATCTAACTTAAATTAAACGAGATAAAAAAAATGAAAAAATAGATCTAATTAGATCCAAATTAAATCTAAATAGATATAAAATAGATCTAAATAAATATAAAGTAGATCTAAGTAAATTTAAGTAAATCTATAGAAATGTACACTTTTATTTATTATTAGATCTACTCTTGATCTACTCAGATCTGTTATATTACATCACCTCAGATCTGGTCAGATCTGCTCAAATCTAACTAAATCTGAGTAGTTTTAATTATAGTAGATCTGAGTAGATCTAAAGTAGATTTAATAATATTTAAAGGTGTAAATTTAATAGATTTGCTTATATTTATTTAGATTTACTTTATATTTATTTAGATCTACTTTATATCTATTCAAATTTAAGTTAGATCTAATCCATTTTTTCTCGGGTAGCGGCAGCGCTAATACGCTGAATACGCATGACGCAAAGCAACTACGTACGCAATCGTATCACATTTCTTACGAGTATTATCATTTCGCGCGCAAATATCTATAGTACGCGTATGTTGCGAATTATCGAGCGTTTGTAGTGGTGCATATTTAGCATCGCGCACTCGCAGATAATAGTAACCGTCGAGTTTACGATGAAATGGTATCACATTATGTATCACACAATTAACATAGTTCTTCTGCCTACGATCCATCTCGAACAAGACATTCCAAACAGAGCACATGTCGCAATAAAGTTAAGAGGATGCTGAACTGTCCTGTTTTACCATCATTTCGTAGTTCCATTTTTTTGTGAAAACTATGAATCGGAATAAAAAATCCTTTTCCAGAAATAAAGGAAATATAGTAAAGAATGGGATAAAGCCTAAAAATTTAAGAAAAACAAAAAAAAGTTTTTAGACTGTTTTTACAGAAACTACATTTTTACTTTATATGCAAAATTGGCCATATAAATCCAAATAAAAATACCTTTATCCCAAACTAGAAACACAGACGAATATTTTGAGTGCTTCAAAAAAGATTTTGAAGCCTTGTGAGACAAGAAAAATTGGAACTACGATTAGTACAATTTTAGCAGAAGCGTCAGAAAGAAACATATGTCTATCCTTGGCTCTCTCATGTCATCTATCCTTGTTTTGGTTTGATTCGGTCCCGAGAGATGGCGCCATCTACCCGATAGCGTAGCGGTTGAGTAGCAGCTGAGCGGACTTTTGCCAGCTGTTCAGCATCCTCTTAACAGCGGTAAACGCATGCTCATCTGCCTCTCAGATCGATGTTATACATGAGTGAGAATCGAAATATCGAATCGACATCTGCGTTGCAGAGTGCGCACACATAGCACGGAATAGAATCAACTCTATTGGTAAGACAGCAAATTTACTAACTAAAAAGACGTCGTTTTGGTTCTTGATTGTGACTGAAAACGTCAATTATTGGTGTTTATATAGAAATATAGGTACTACAGTGTAAAAATTTATACAGTATTGTATTGCAATAATAAAATACATCAGAAAGCATACAATTTATTTCAGAAATACGTCGATAATTTGGTGTATTTGCATTTAAATGTTTCTTATTATATTGCTTTTTATTATATGTTTTATAATAACAATGATACCGTATACAGAAATCCGCAAAAATCAAAACATAATGTATTTTTTCTTATTCTTTTGTATTGTTAATCAAGTTTGTAATAATAAGTAATAATAAAATAAACAATAAGTATTACGGTATATAACAGAAACTAAAAAAGTAACATACAAAGTATTTAATTGTTTACATTCCTTTTTACATACAATATGCAAGTGTCAAAATAAAAATCATAGTTAATGTTAAATATGTTATGATTATCGGACAAAATAAAGTGCGAATTCGTGTTATCTACTAGCTTTGTCATCTGGTGTTACAAAAAATAAGATGAGTTTAACGTAGACTCTCGTCAATGTTGTACTAATATTATATCACAGATTTCAATCATTATAAAATCGAAACGTTTCATACATAGATATATCACGTGTAAAATACATAACTTCTCACACAGCACAACAATTTCAATAAACATCTATTAAGGTTTACATAAAGTTAATGACCGCTACTCTTTTGTTTAATGGAGTTTTTGTGTGGGCTTATTATCCTAAAAAAGTATTCTTAAAAACCCATAATTTAAAACATCATTTCACACATAGTTTAGGTAACACATAACAACACTGTTCAACACATTTTCTGGACTTGAATAAAGAAAATGGTTTCTACTAGAATTTCGGTCGCTGAAAACGAATTTTGCTGCGAAAATGGCCTAACACGTCAAGTTTCTAAAAAGTTTGAGAATAAATATGCCAAAAGTAATGTTTTGGCTATATTGTTTTATACAAGTTTACTTACGCCACATTAAAGCGCTTTCTTTTATATTTATAATTTTAATTAATATATACTATAAAATATATATTATAATATACTAGAATATATAATATATATTTATACTATAAACTTATGTATATTACTATACGATCTTTAAATATACATACGTATATTAAAAATAACATATTATAAATCATTAAATTCAATATAAATAATATTTTTGTTAGACAAGAACGTAGTTACGCACTTTAGCATTCTATTTATCTCGTGAAGTTGTTTAGTTCTTACTATTGTAATTTATAAACTTATATTTCATACATCTGTAAATAGTACACGAAAAGAAAAGATCTGTTAGAATAGCAAGAAATTATACTATACTGCCAGCAAAATAATTTCCTAAGTTTATTAAGATTTTTGTTTTACCAACAAAACATTTCGTTGAAAAAGCGCAAAATTTCATTGACTTAAATAACAAAAAGTTTTGCTGTTGTATAGTCAGCAACAAAAACGTTTTTGCTGACTATATAACATATAACATAATCATCATTTTCTAATTATTGATTTTTTACATGGTAATTGTATATATAAAAAAAAGATTGTATTGTAAAAAGTATAAATATATATTAAAAAATAAAAATTAGCATTTCTTGAATATGGCGTAATTCAACTTGCAAAACAATGTCGTTTGACTGTAAAATAACGGTGTAAATAAGTGGCAAAAACTGCAAAATTTGGCATATATAAATCTAATTTTCTCGGACATCTGACGCGGTAAGCTAGTTCGCAGTCGGATTCGTTTTCCGTGACCACAAATCTATCGAACACTTTGTTCATTCAAGTCCCTCAAAACCGGTCTATTTTTGTAGAACAGTGTACTTATTCCTTCTTCACAAAAATGTATTTGCAATAATCATTTTACGTAGTAAATTCTTCTTGAGGTACCGCTATTTTAAAAGTATTCAAATGTATGTGATTTATTCGTAATTATATCAAGTTTATTACATCTTGAGTGTCTAGCTTTGTGATGGTTTGTTACATGATGTGATTTAGATACGCACGTTACAGCTCTATACAAACGAATACCACAGAGTTAACTTAATATACTAAAAAACTTTAAACGATGTCTTTTGACACTGTTAATTTGATTGATTTACTTATTGATACTATGGTTCATAAGTTTTCCTGAAATAAATATGTCTTTACCACTTACGTTACATGTAAAACGCTTTTCTTTTTGCACCATTTTACTGTGAGAAGCTTAAACAGGTACCTTGCTTTTTTTACATACATCACACAAATAAGATGACTCACTTATGATATAAATGAATTAATTCATGTTGTTTTAGTTGATATTTGTATGAGAACTTCATGGAACATGTCTTAAAAAAAAATTAATATTTACTTGTTGCTATCAAAATAATTTGCTACCGCTTTATTTTCTATTGCTTTAACTTGACAGTGTATTTACTCCTAGTGGTAATAATTTAATCTGTAGAAATATTTATTTATTACCTTGCACGTAAAACGTTTTTCTTCATGCACGTCTCGTTTGTGCGCAAATAACTTATCTTTTATTTTAAAAGTCCGATTACACTTTTCACACAAATAAGGTCTTTCAGTAGAATGAACTAGTGTATGTCTGTTAAAATTATATTTCGTACCAAATGCTTTAAAGCATATCTTAAAAAAAAATATTTTGTATATGTCAATATTTTACGATTCTTAAAATATTGTTTTCATATTACTAGTATAAATCAATATGGAGGTTTATTAGCGTAAACAAATTTTCCTGAAAGTCTGAGTTTTCATGTATTACCTTACATATAATCTTTTTCTCTACGTGAACATGTCTGATATGGACGTATAAACTTTTTTTGGTCTTGTAGTATTTTTTACATTTATCACACATATATTGTTTGCTTAAGTGAAGTAGAGTATGGCTTTGTAGGCCAAGTAAGCTTGTGAATGGCGCGGTACATATCTTGAAAAAAATAAATAATATCTTACATTTACTATCTTCGTTAGACTTGGTATCGTTTTTTTTATATTTTGTTAATGTAGAATAATAAACAGTTAATTACTAGTAAATTAGTTAATAGTAAAACACTGTGTGTGTTTTTGTACAACAAATGCTTTTTCATCTCTTACCTTACATATAAAATTTTCTTCTTTATACGTATGCATAAGCTGTTTGTGCATTTGTAAATAACTTATGCTGTTAAATGATTCGTTACATTCATCACACAAGAAATTACGTGTTTCGTCATGTTGTGGAGCATCTTGTGTACTTGTCGGAGGTGAATTTATCTTGAACAGATATTTTATTTTGTTAATGTTTGTATGTAACAGATATAATAAGGTGTTTTTTTATTTCTTACCTTACGGAGTACATCTTCTTCTTCATATATATGCATATGCTGTTTATGCATTTGTAATTGACTTATGCTGTTAAATGATTCGTAACATTCATCACATACAAAAGTA